GCTCTGGCACCCGGCAGCTGCCGACGCGGCCCGCACGGATAACAGGGATCACGTACATTGGATGGACATGGGAGACACGATCTCTTCGTCCAAATCGTCCACGTCATCGGTCATGATGAAGTGCGAGGGGTTGGGGCGCGGGGTGCCCATCCAGCCCGGGTCGATGTTGAGGGCCGATGCCAGCGTGTGGATGCCGGGGTTGTTGACGATCTGGAAGCCGCAGAGCAGATCCATCTGTGATCTGCTGCCAGCGGTGCAGGCGCTCCCGCAGCGCGGCCGTCACTTCGCTCAGCGCTTGCCTGGCAGCGAGGTTCAACGAAGGGAAAAGGTAGGGAATGAAGGAAAACGACACCATAAACCATCGGAAACAGGGGGTCTAGTGGTTCTGCCTTGTTTCCTGATGCTGAGACATCGGCATAATGAGGGGATTCCTGATGGCAGGACGGGGTTAAACGGGAAGAGGGAGATGGAGCTGGGACATCAGGAAGGAATTCTTCCCGCAGAGGGTGGGAGCACTGGGACAGGTTCCCAGAGAAGCTGTGGATGCCCCATCCCTGGGAATGTCCAAGGCCAGGCTGGATGAGGCTTGGAGCACCCTGGGCTATGGAAGGTGTCCTTGCCCGTGGCAGGGGGTGGGGCTGGGGGGGCTTTGAGGTCCCTTCCACCCAAACCATCCCGGGATTCTAAAAAGGAGCAAGTCCGAGCCCAGCTAACTGGAGCGCACAGGCTCCGCTCCGCTCGCGCCTGGAATACGAGGGGGTGAACGAGGGAAGCAGAAAGAAGGGAAGGTGTCAGGTAGATACTCACTTTGCAGTTAGGATTTTATGATCGACGTCATCCAGCGATGAGCTGTGAGCAACGTGAAACGTCCCAAACAAGGTGTTTCGCTTCTTTTTAATTTTTTCAGCCTGGAACATCAACAGAAAAAGGTCACAGGAAGAAGACGACCTTATGTTTCCTCCAGGATGAGAACATCCAGGATGGGCCGAGCCAGAAATAGTCGCCGCAGCTGTCTGCACACACGTGGACGGTGCGAGCTGTGGGCTCACTGAAGGATGTTCTTCTCCCTGACACGGAGGTGAGGAATCAGCCAGCAGCGAGGGAGCAGGTTGGGGGTTTCATGCTCCTCCTTTGGCCCTTCTCCCGATATCCCAGAAGTCAGAGGGAGCTGAACCAGCTACCCCCGGCAGCGACCGGCTCTCCTAAGGCCTTGCTTTGTCTTTGCCATGAGTAAACTGTCAGAGACACACTGTCAGTGCCCCAGGGTTGTTGGTTTGGGGAGGGGTTTGGGATTGGGACTGGGATTTTTAATCTACCTTCCCTCTGTGGCACCGTGTGTGGGCAAAGCTGAAGCCCCCGGACACAGACCTGTGGGTCACGGGTCTCGTGGCACTAACTCCAGACTTCAAGAAGCTAAACGGGGGACGTGGACCCCAGCACTGCGCCCGCGGGAGGGAGCCCACTGCCACCTTAGTGTTCAGAATGAAAACACAGGAAGGCAGGTGAGTTCTTCCACGCTGCCAGCTCCGAGCGCCCCGTACGCCCACACCAACGCCACGCCAGCTTCCCTGAGCTCACCGGTCTTGGGTTGGCACGGAAACTCGGAATACGGAAACGATTCATCGCTACCCATCGCTGCCTCGCACGTGAATCACCCCGAGTGGGGATGATGCTTAAGAGGCACAAAACCTCCTGCACGGTGATCCCCACGTGTGCTGGCTCCGGCAGCGCCTCCTGCTCTGCAGCTGCCCAGGGCTCCATGCCCACCCCAGCGCCCGCCGGGCCCTCGGGGGCGATGGCTCATTACGGTTTGCAGCCCCTACTTACCCCCTGCCAGAAGGTTTCTGCTGCACTTCAAAACCAATGCACATTTAAGGCATTAAAGGGGAATAAAGAAGGTGCAGAGACACCAACTCCACAGGTTTCATTCCCCAAACCTTTCCCCGTGGCTGCGAGAGGAAGACCCCGGGACAAGACGCTGAAATTCCCGGGAGAAGGCGTGGAAAGGCTCACCCCTTCCTTGGCCACCAGCAGCTGCTTCTCCGCGTTCTGCTTCTTGATGTTGTAGTACTGGACCTCCACTTCGTGGGTGAGCTGGAGCCACTTCTGCAGGGCCTCGGGCGCTGCCCAGCTGCAGTGGGACTCCAGCTCCTTCTCCGCGTTCTTCAGCGCCATCCGTACCTGGGGGAGAACCGGCCGGCGGCGTTGCAGCGGCGATGGGGACGGCCTGCCCTCCCGCAAGGCCAACCCAACCGCTGGCTGCCAACCCGGTGCTTCCGGGGCACCAGGACACAGGGAAAAAAAGACTCCACGCAACTCGTGTGTGTTGGGTTTGGTCAGGACGGGGTTAATTCCCTTCCCAGGGG